GCGGACATGCACAAACGGAAAGGAAAGCAAGATGAATGGAATGAAATGTCTTTTTCTTCCATGGCATCTCAGGAAATAGCCATGGCAAAACTGTGATTCCCAAAAACCATTATTTTTGTTTGTTTGTTTTAACAAATAAATCTTTCCACTTGCCTACCTTCTAGCAATGTACCAGATACTAGTGCTCTGACGTTTCCTCCTGTGGAAAAGTCTCACAATGTCAAACGGCTCTTTACCATGAGGCTGTTCACCCCCACAGGGCAGCATGCTTTGCTCACAGTCCCACAGACTCTGCCCAAGGACCCAGTGCAGTATTTTCTAGAAGGTTGGCAAGTGAAAAATGGCAGTGCGACTAGTGTGCTCTGTCCCAGCAGCCTTAACCCCCTCGGTGCTGCTGCTTTTTTTTTTTTTTTGGAAGCAAAGGGAAAAAAAAAAAAGAAAAAAGAAAAAAAGAAAAAGAGGAAAAAAAGGAGGGAAAAAAAATAGCGAAATGGCTTTTCCGAGAGTCTTATCAGTGAACTGAACCCAGCGAGCTCTCAGGACGCAGCAGCCCGGCCTCCGGACTCCCCTTGCTGCTCTCAGGCAGGTTGTCACCACCCAGGCAGCCCACCCACACCCCCCAGCCAGCGCTGCTCCAGGGGGGCCACCGCTCCAGGCTTGTTTTGGGGTCCCCGAGCCTCGGTCTCTCTCTTTCATTCACTGGCTCTGCTGTGAAAGGCAGTCTCCTTTAGTCGCCTAAAGGATCTCTTGCTCTTTGAACGCCCGTTTGCTTCCCCAAGGGAAAAATTTGAAAAAAAAAAAGAAAAAAAAAGCAGCCCAGGCAATTCAGAGAGAACCTCTGGCTGCCCTAAACTGAGGTTCGGGGCCACCATGGGGCTCAGCCCCAAAAGCATCAGGGTTAGGGGAAGCGTGAGGCCGGTGGCCCACGGACGTGCCCGCAGCTCGGCGTTACTGCCAGGCACCACCGACCCTCCCGGGCTCCTCTTTTTGGTGAAGCTGGGGAGAGCGACGACCCCAAGGAAGGGTCCCAGGGGAGCCTCAGGGCTGCCAGGCACTGGCACTGCTGGCTCCCCTGTGGGGAGATGTCCTTGTCTCCAAATGACAAGAGCACGCACCACCTCTTTTTTTGGAGTCGGTCCCGGGTATGAGAAGGGCTACCACACCCCCGGGGAGCAGGCAGGGAGGGGGAGGCGATGGAAACCATCCCTGGAGCATTTCTCCACCTGGGCGCTGGGCAGGGATTCTCAGCAGCAGCCAGTTAACCTTCCCATCTGCTGGCGAGCACGGCCGGAGCCGGGATGCAGGGCAGAAAGCCTGGCAAAAGAGTCGTGCCGGCATCGCTTCCTTAGCCGGGCCAAGATGTGGCTCCGGCACGTGGTCCCCAGCAGAGGAACGTCCCCATCCCACGCACCGCTGCGGGCGTTTGGGCCAGGTCTCTGTCCTGTTCACAAAACCCCCCGGGAGAGATGG